TTTGCATTTTTGCAAACATGTTTTACCTTTTTTTTTTATCTTCATTACAAAGGGAAATTAAAACTAAATTTCAAGATTTTGATTTTTTTTTTTTTTTGAGAAACTAAATTGCGGTCTTCTGATGTCTTCTAGCATAGAGTATTTGGCTCAGTAACATAAATGAAGAGCATCAAAAGTCACAAATGATTACCAATGGGAAAACAAAAGGGAAATGGGAGTATTTTTTGCATTCATTTTAGGAAAAAAAAGAAGAAAAAGGCAGAGAAATTTAGGGTAGATAATTAACTTGACAATTTTGAAACAGCTATTCTATAGCTTTTTTTTTTTCCTGACTCTCCTTCGGTTTCTCATTGTGCAGCGGGAAACAAACAAAGAAACAAACAACATCAAAAGCTGAATAAAAACATAACAATTTCCCCTTGCCCCCCATTTTTGGAGAGGCTATCCAGGACCTTTCATACAGATTCATCTGGAAACGCCTGGGGGTTCATTAAGCAACCAAAAATACAGTAGAGCTCCAGGTTGTTTGAGTGGAGGTAGAACGACTAATATGTAGCCAAGTTACCAAATATGAAAAATCAGCATCTTCAAGAAGGTCAGCTCTCAAAGGGAAAAGCTGCCATAACCTAAAGTTGCTGTTTCTTTGGTAACTAGTGGTCTTCGTGTAAAGGATTTCATCTTTACCCCTACCCTCTCCCCTTTCAAGAAAGCAATACTTTGCTTTCCATAAAATATCTTCCTCATCCTTTATTTGAATTTAATAGTACTCTTTGTTCTAGCTAAGCCATGTCACAAACATTCAGTCCTTTTGCACAATCCTTCACATCACTTGTGATTTTAGTCTCGGATTGGCAATATGGTTATTCTGAAACACAAAAATTCTGGAGAACTCCTAAGAAGCAGAAAGGAAGGTAAGAGATCTCTAATCAAGTAGTGACTTGACTACTACTATTCTGATAGCACTTTTCCATCTAATTACCTTTAAATTTTTCTCCAAAATTAAGAAATCACTTGTTCAGTGTCTTGGGGTTTTGTTTTCATTAGATCAACTTGAAAGAGGGGTGTACAGAAAGGACATTTCTCATACAGTCTTCATTAAGATTGTTGAGAGTTGAATTTCTCTGTATCATGAGCATATATTGAAGAAAGGTTGTCTGCATATCGGAATCAAAGACTTTTTCTGCCTTAAGATAGCCTTCCAAATATGCCTTTTCCATCTGTTTTTTTTTTTAATTGTGTCTGTCCAAAGGATGGAAAAAGCAGTACTGAATTTGTTTTCACTGTTTTAGCAGATCATTTTTCTTTGCTTTTTAGAATATGTTTTAACTTTCCCATATTGCAGGAAAAAAAGTTTCACCTTGAATACAATTATCAGTCATCTCTACTATACAACAGAGCTGCTTTCTACTTACCTCAAACTCCTTTTCAGCAAGGTTATTGGGTCAAACCATTGCTTTTTCTTCACAAAATTCAGTTTTACAATATTTTTTTACTTGCAGTTTTAGCACTCCCTCAAAAATTAGTGGTGGGAAGTGAACACTGAAACTTCAAGTAGAAAAAAAGAAAAAAAAAAGCTGCACCTTAACTACGTTTGCATTTTTGCAAACATGTTTTACCCTTTTTTCTCTTGTCGCTCTCATTAATAGGTAGGACAGATGAGATGTGCACCTGATAGTGACATTAGAAAAATACTCTGAATATTTACTCAAGACTCATATCTATCTCAAATGTTATTTAACAATTTACTCTTTAGAGTCCTACACGTTAAGCACATCTATGTTATGACCTTCTCAGTCTCAACTGATCTGAAAAACTTGGTTCCATCTTTAATTTAGATGGTTTATTTTAATTGCCTATTAAAATATTTTTCACAATGAATAAATATTATTCACAGAACAATTCACTGGACAGTGGAAGCTGTGTTTGTGCAAAGATGTATTATGAACAGCATATTGAATTTTATAGTAATTATAATACAGATGAAGAGAGAATGAATTTTAATATGAAGTAAAAGAGCAGTAAAATATAGCAAAATCATGGTAAAACAGATTATGAATTATACTAAAAAACTTTTACTTGTATGAGAATATATATTTAAATTATGGAATTATTAATGAACATTTAAGCCTGGTATTATAAATATTTTTGCGATTTTGGATGGCTAAGCAAATAAAATATCAGTTTCATATTTTGTTATATATTTTTTCCCTAGGCAATCCGTTAGCAGTGCTATTAATATCTTCCTGCCTAAGCATGCCTCTTGTTTAATGACCAAACACAAATCAACAGTTCACCAGGTTACAGGGTGTAGCAGGACCACCCTGCAGCATTTCAAGGGAGGAAATGAAGACAGGAATGATTCTGCTGCTTTGCAAAAATACATGTTCCTTCATTTATTTTACATATATGAAACTCTTTCTTACCTTAAATTTGTTAGGTAAATTATGAGCTGACAGATACTCCAATTTGTTTTTTATGTTTAGAGCTAATGCACATGATAAACAATTATCCATGACACCCAAAGTACAGATTTAATATTTAATGTTCTAAAGTATCTCTTATGCATGTGCTTCAAGAACTGAGATTTTATTTTACTCTTTCAGTCCCGTTCAAATAATAAAAGTATCTATAAAAAGTGGGCAGATATTGCTTTCATCTCTGGGTCTTGAGCTGTGCCCACCCTTCAAAGCTGCCCAAAGGCCGAGTCGCTGACTAGGGACAGAGCAACCCCAGCTGGGACTGCAGCAGGTTTCATGTGTACCCTAAAAGGGAGCTCCAGGTTGTTTCCTCAAAAAGTGAACTTAGTTTCTGCATGCTGAAACACCCTTACAGATTAAACCAATGTATGATCAGTGAAGACAACTGCAAATGGATAAAAACGGTCAGAATTTTTGGCAAATCACCAAAACACCAAGAGAGATGTGGCCTTCAAATGACAAGCATCCTGAAGGACACTGGAATTAGCAGCTGCTTAGAAATGGACCTGGACATATATTACTCACTGGAAGTGATATACTCAGGAGCCTTTCCAGGACTAAGTGGCACTGCCTCTTCATAATAGCCTTCTGGAAGGGATGATGTTGGTAATGGTGGAGGCCCATTATCTGGTGGCTAAATGAAGAAAGAAAAAGAAGACAAAAAAAACCCCACAAATAAACAAACAAACAAACAAAAAAAGGTGATTAAACAAGGTACTAAAGCAAGCAGTCTCACAATATCTGTCCATGATCAGTGCTTATATTACCATCCTTACAACCTTATTGGCTTCTCAATTTCTTACCTAACTACATCTAAAGGCAAGGCTCTTGAGGAGTGAACTGGTCCCTTAGGCAAGAAATATTCTGCAGGACAACAGCTTTTAGAAGGGAGACAAGTCTAAGTCTCAAGCTCTTGATCTTCTGCTATAGTAAACAACACTGAGCAGTTGTTGAGATTTGCAAAGCAATGAAGTGATTTAATTATGCTTTACAGCATAATGATACATCTTGAAATGCATCATTATCGCCAAGTCTTCTAAGATGGCAAAATCAAGACAGTTATTACATTAATAAGTCCTTTCTACAATGGCATTAAGTGGTAAAAATATTGGAAAGATAAAATTCTCTATTTAAGAGCTAGAAACCTAAGAAATTTATGTAGGAAAGAGATTTTGACATACAGGCCATTTTACAGTATTGAGGAACATTTATTAGCATTTACATATAAAATAATTTCTATCACAGTATTAAACAAATATGAAGTCCCTTAACAAAAATCAAACGGCCTGAGTTGGCAGAGATTAAGGATACATAACATAGTCCATAGTTTTGTAATGCATTTTGTTTTTCAAGGGCAGATCAATCTTAATATCAACATATTAATTTTTATAAAGATAACTTTACATACTGAAATCTGAGCTATGACTAACAAATAATTCAGAACATCACGAAACTATTATATGATAAAATAAATATTTCAAATACCAGGTCAAACTTTAAAATGCTTCTTTTCTAAATATAAACCTGTTTTAAATTTAAAAATGACTGACTGCTGGTATGTTGATATAATAACAAAGCAAGTTTAGTACTGTATGACTTCCACCATATGACTTTACTGTTCTATTTCCTTAACAAGTACCAAAACAACTGTATTTTATAGAATCCATTCATATTTGCCACCAGGTTTTCATTCTGTATTTTCATACTGAAGGAAACACTTAAGCCTTTTTTCAGCATTAGTGGTTTATTGTATGATGACAAAAGTACAACTTGCAAGCAAGAGTCTCATATTTGCAGCAACAGTTTTCAACACATCTTTCTCTTTTACATAAAATGAGGTAAATGTAACTGAGTGTTTGTCTCTGTTGGACTCATTCAGTCTAAATTCAGGGAAGAGACAGAAGCACCTAAAGAAGAAATCAGTCTGGGTTACCTTTATATAAGGCAGGTTTTCCAGCCTTGAAAGTGTTTGCATGTTGGATATTATAGATACATGCAGAAAGGTAAGAGGCTAGTGAAAAAAATCAGCCCTCAAGCTCATCTGACCCCAAGAGATCTCCTAGTAAAATTAGCAACTTCCTCTCAAACAGTGAACCAATTTGGGACCAAACAAAAATAAATTGGTCAGTTTGAGACTTGCATCAACATTACTTCTACATCAAGTCATGTATCCAACTTATTATTAGTCACACTCAATTACAGATAAGAGCTGACAATTACTGTTATCTCTAATGCGCACTCAGTTGAATGAGTTTTCCTCACAGAGCAGCTTTGCTACAGAAATCATCTGCCGAAGAACTAAAACAATGAAAAAACAAAGCTTTTTAGCACAACTTCCCCATGATTTTGTTGAAAAAGGCAAATTGCAAACCTGCCTGTTGTCACAAAACATATGAATCTTCCCGTTTCACCTGCCGCTGTGCAACGCTGCACATGAGGGGTGCTAAAACACACAAGATGTTCCTTAATATTGGAGAGCTGTCAGCACGCCGCAACCCGGCGGCAGCGCGGCTTCCCTGCGCTCCTTCCATAAGACAGATATATTAATGTTGTGGTCTAGCCTCCAACTGCTTTCCCTGTCAGGTGCACTAAGATATAGGAAATTCCTATCGTTATTAAACCTAATTCACCCAGGAAATATCTGTCCTGAGAGTCATTCCCATCTCGACTTGACACAGCAGAACAAGGTTTTGAAGCTATCTTTTATCCAGAACCAAATAAGAGGTGCCAATAAAGATTCGGGGGGAGGGGGGCAAATGCTTGTTTTTAGACAAAATGTTATTCCGAAAGAAAGAAAAAAGGAAATGAAACACAAATGGTGCTTGTCTGAATTCGACCCTGCTGGAGCAGCGGTTACCGCATGCAGCTGGGGCGGGCAAGGCTGCGCCGCCAACGTCAACACAGATGGAAACCATTGCTGCCTTCCTCGGCCCTCGCCTTCCAAAAGCAGCGCTTGCCATAACAGAGTGGAAAACAATTATAAAATTGCATTAAAATTAAAAAAAAAAGATTATTAGTAGGAATAGAAACATCCAACTGATTAAATACAAAAGGAAAGTGCCTTGCTCAAATCTGCACCGTAAACAACTCCATCTTTTGCAAGTTATGGAATATGTAATCCTTCGACCATCAGTAAATCTAAAATGTACATGTGAGCATGCTGATATTGCTTATTAATATCTGCCATGTTTGGATTTCTTTACCATTGCTAGTGGCATAGTTTAATGCTTTCAACTGAACTGCTTTCAATTTTGATGAAGTTATGAGGTATGAACTGAAATAAATCTTGATTCAGTAACTCCTCATTAGCTTATCTGAAAATAAAAAGTCTATTAAAAAAGCACAAAACTATATACTATATGAAAGGATTAAATCTTAAAAAAAAATGAATGTGTGCTTTGAGTGGTACCACAGGGAAAGACATAGCAACCTGCAAAGAAAGCATTAACACCAACTTCTCCCTTCGTTTTTTCAGAATAGGCCACAAGGAAGAACACTAGGAAATACTGTCTTTCAAGACAAATAACCTTGCTCAAACACAGGAATAAGAACTGAGTTAAACAAAAAAAAAAATCACAATTTTATCCCACTGGAGGCAAAAGGACAAAGATGAGTGACATGCTGCTGCCCAGAATAATATCAGTAATACTGAGAACAACTGATGAAGGTGTTTGACAGGTGCTGGGTCTAAGACAAAATGAGAGATCCTTTACTTGAACCAAAGCAGCTGTCAGGTGCTCATTGCCCTGCAGAACTGAGAACTCAGAGACATTAAAGACTGCGTTGTTCATGGGATGCCCAACTGAAAATACAGGAGGGACTACTGAGAGAAACAAATTTTAAGCAATATATAACTGGACATTAAAACTGTTTCACTGGAGCCTAAAACAGACCCCTTTCAGGCCTTCTTCTCCACTAGTCCATCTGTGTTTCAGAAAGCAGAAATAAACTCCTTCTCTCTTACCTCTTTACCTAAGAGGTAAAATACTTTATTTTACCCTTCCCTCAAAGGATACCTACCAAGTTAGGCAGCAACTGTCTTTCAGGGTTGGTCTCACTCATAGTTCCTGAGGATGTGAAAGTAATAGCATAGAAGGCAATACGGAAAGCAGAGGAAAACAAAGGTCACCCTACAGGGACCTGAAGATATAAAATAGCTTTGTATCACTGCGAGGCGTTACGCCTTGCAGGAAACAAGCAGGAACCTCTCAGCCCTTGCGCTCGTTCAGGATGTGGAGCTTTCCAGTGAAAATGCCTGACCTTAGGAGAGGTCGAGGCTGCCAACACCCACGTGCCGCCGCCGAGGGCTGCCAGCAGCTCGAGTGCCGCTCTCGCAAGGCTGTTATTAGATCGACCACGAACTCTGTCCCAGACGGACGCCGGGGCCAGCTGCCGTGCAACTCCACAACGCTCAAAAGCAGCAACGTGATACTGGAAAAGCGGTTGAATACTTGTGGTGTACAATAAAGCTACTTAGAGGCCAGCGGGCAAATGCGGCTTTCAAGACGCCTTGTCACCTACGGGTGCCATTTGCTTGGGAGCGGAGCTGACCTTAGGACAACCCTGCCATTCCCTGCCCTGTGGGCTCAGAGAGTGCTCTTGCATTTACAATCCCCCTCCCTACAGGCCAGAGAAAAATGGATGTTACTGACTGTACTATTCAACTCGGCTCTGTTGTGCCACTGTAAAGGCTGAAAACTGGCCATGGGTACTCGCTGCACTCTTAAAGTTGACATGAAAGCTATCAGTAAACCATGTTGTCACCTGGTCCCTAGGAAACTGGGAACTAAATTATGTGAAAGAAGTCTAGCAAATTCTCTTAAAGAAGTGTCTGCATTCCCCAGTATACACAAATTCACCTTCCTATTCCAGATCATGTATTCGTGTATGTGACATGATGGTGGGAACAGGGCACGGCAGCAGGGTGAGAACAGTGCAGACAGCACTGTTTACACCTTAAGAATATTCCCTCGGGGCCTGAACTCAAACTAAAACAAGAGAAAACTTTGGTACTTAAAAATGTGGCAAGTACTTACTGCCCTAATTCCTCTCCTATGTGTTTGTAAATAGCATCTTAACATGCTTAAGAAAAACAAACAGGCTGGTTCCCAGTAGATGCTTAGGGATAGTGTTTTATGGACAGGTACAGCATGGAAAGAAGATAAAAAGAAAATGTGAGACAAATAGGAACATGGTAAGAATGATGGTATCAAATTTGTGGCATTAGTAACCTTATAACTTTCCACTGTGAATGTCAAAGATCATCAACGTGTAGTAAGGATAGGAAAGAGGGCAAACAGCTTCACAATAGTCACACAGGAAGATGACAAAGCAGTTCAATCCTGCTGCAAGCCCGCACTGGAAATATTCCAGTTTAAGTGAGAATTGCAGTAAAAGGCATTTCAAGATAGTTCACTCCAGCAGCTTAGACATGAAAAAAGGCTGACATATGATGGTACATTGTTATAATGGTGTATGATAAATGAACTGACAAGAAAATTAATTTAAAATTGTCTGTGGTACCATTTGCAAATATAGAAGAAGTAACAATAATGCATCTTCCTGAACCTCCCCCCCCAAAAAAAAAGGAAAGGAAAATGGGGACAACTATAGCATCCTGCAAGACATGATGAA